AAAAAAAAAAAAAAAAAAAAAAAAAAAAAAAAAAAAAAAAAAAAAAAAAAAAAAAAAAAAAAAAAAAAAAAAAAAAGGGAAAAGATAAAGCGCTATAAAAATATGAAATATTTAAAATGTGAAAAATTTAAAAAGAAACAAAGTATTCAGCTATCTTTAGAGATCAGGGTAGAATACTTAGGTATATAAGAGAAGAATGGAAAAGAAAGGAGAAACTGTTAATCTAAGAACAATGCTGAGATGTATAAAACAAAGGATGAAATATGCAATGTGGACAGTTCACATTAGGTTTCTTTTTTTTTGAGACAGAGTTTCACTCTTGTTGCCCAGGCTGGAGTCCATGGCATGATTTTGGCTCACTGCAACCTCCGCCTGTCAAGTTCAAGAGATTCTCCTGCCTCAGCTTCCTCCCAAATAGCTGAGATTACAGACATGTATCATCACATCAAGCTAATTTTGTATTTTTAGTAGACATGGGGTTTCTCCAGGTTTGTCAGGCTGGTCTTGAACTGCCAACCTCAGGTGATCCACCCACCTCGGCCTCCCAAAGTGCTGGGATTACAGGTGTGAGCTACCGCACCCAGCCAAGATGGAGTTTCACAATGGTGGTCAGGTTGGTCTAGAACTCCTGACCTCAGGTATCTGCCTGCCTTGGCCTCCCAAAGTACTGGGATTACAGGCGCAAGTCACCGCACGTGGCCTCACATTAGTTTTGAAATGATGAAATCCTCAAGAAAAAGCCTTGTTTACTTACATTTATTTATTTATTTATTCTTTCTCCCTAGACTGCTCAGCAGGGAAGAATTTATTTATTTGAGATGGAGTCTCGCTCTGTCACTGAGGCTGGAGTCCAGTGGCGCAATCTTGGCTCACTACAACCTCTGCCGCTCGGGTTCAAGTGATTCTCCTGCCTCAGTCTCCTGAGTAGCTGGGATTACAGGCACCTGCCACTGTGCCCAGCTAATTTTTGTAGTTTTTAGTAGAGACGAGGTTTCACCATGTTGGCCAGGTTGGTCTTGAACACCTGATCTCGTGATCCAACTGCCTCAGCCTCCCAAAGTGCTGGGAGTGCTCACACCTGTAGGTGTGAGCCACTGCGCCTGGCCAAATAATTTATTTTTATAGATAGCAGTTTCCTTAGGAATCAACCTTTGGGCCACAGTAACAAATATTTGTGTATGACTTGGACTTAACCATTATCTTCTCTCTCCTCATAATGTCCACTACTAAATGAGTACTTCTACTTTAACATACTGAGAAAATTGTAGGACCACATGCACTCTTACAGGAATCCTATGCAAGTTTGCAGGTTTCTATACTGGCTTTTGTTACAGGGAATTGAAATTAGCTGCTGCTATTCGCCTATGCATTATTTCAGGGCAGGATTGTGCCTTGTCTTTCAACGGCTTTCCATTCATTCATTGTCCTTAAAGAAGTCCAGTCTTTAATATGGCATAAAATATAATCTGGTCCCCGCCATCTCTGGCTTTACCTCTCGGTGCTGTCCTCTGCCTGGCAATTTGGCCACACTTAAGCACTCTAGAATCATCAGTGTACTACACTTTTTCTGACAGTAGCTTTTGCACAGGTTATTTCACTTGCCCGGCATACTTTGTTCCATTCTTCTTGGCTAACTTACTTTCCTGGTTTCAAGAGATATTATTTTCTCTGCCAACTTCCCTTGAACCTCCCTCTCGTCTGAGTTAGCCTTTCTTTTTTCTTTTTTTTTTTTTTAAAGATGGGGTTTCACCATGTTGGTCAGGCTGGTCTTGAACTCCCGACCTCAGGTGATCCGCCCGCCTTGGCCTCCAAAGTGCTTGGATTACAGACGTGAGCCACCACGCCCGGCCTGGGTTAGCCTTTCAAGCATACCTTCCTCTTCCCTCATTATAGTACTTCTCACATCTTATTATAGTAATTGCATTCTTAATTACCTGTCTTACCAGCTCAAACTCTGTGAAACAGGTAACAGTCTTGTTCATGAACGTTTCTGCCATTTTAATCGTGCCTGGAACTCAGGAGGTACACAATAAACACTGAGTTTGCTAATGACAAACACTTGGCAGCACACAAATTCAGCAAAAGTTTCAACAGTTCTGTTAGAAGACATTTGGGGTTGAGGGGGAAAACAAACAAACAAAAAAACAACACAAAAAACAAGCCCGGTGAAATTAAGTGGCCACTTCAGGGAGCTCACTGCTATTTTAACGTAAGAAAATTCTGTACATGCACTATTAGCCACAGGGGAGATCAGAGGTGTTCTGTATGGCAAAGGAGGAGGAAGTTGCAGTGAAGTGAGTATTAAATGTTTATTTTGAGGACCTTCTGCTGTGACCATATAGCTAAAAAAAAAAATCACATTACATATCATTAATCAACTAGCTGTCTGTAGGTTTTAACTAGTACTAGCTGATCTCCTACCTTGTTTTTTTCCGGTTAATTTGAGTAATGATGCACTGCATGAAAAAGAAACTCAGATTGCCATTCTCACAGCAGTCTTTTTGATTACTTTTTGAAAAGAGGTAGTCTCAGTTTTGACCACCTGTTTATTGCAGAAGGAGTAACAAGCATCACTTCACATTTCAGCAGTGTGGTAGTCTCCATGGGGACTTTCTTGTCCATCGCTTAGATAAGCTGTGCCCTTTATTAGGCTAAAGCAGCAGTATTCTAAATGCAGTGGGTAAATTTGAGATTGACTGGATAAAGGTTCAACACTATTAAAGGATTAATACTATATTGTGAGCTATAATGCTTTTACAATAAATATGCAACCACCTTTTGGTTATCATCAGCTGGTATTGCATGTTTTGCTGTGGCTGCAGGAATAACAGTGGATTTAGAAAAGTATCAATGAGTCAATTAAGGATTGTAAAATCCCTGGGAAAAGCCAAGGAATGATCGGTCTTTCCTATATTCCCAATAAAATCACTCCAGAAGACAGACTAATACCAATCACTTCATTTACTTCAGGACATAATATACATTTTGACCCAGGGAAGGTGCTAAATAATAACCTTGTTTAATTTATCTATAAGAGAGTTTTTTTGCAAAGGTAGTAAAACCAGACAAGTGAATAACACACATCAAAGTCAGATTTAAAATGTAGGTCATGGCTCTGTCCTACTGTTAAAGATGCTACAAAGATATATACTTAGAATAGCACCCTGTTCTCTCTTGGGGAGGCTGTATTCAAGATGACAAGAATTACTCTAACATTGTTATAGACATAGATGTTGTCAACAGGGTCTTTCTGTGATTTTAGTAAAAAGAAACAGTGGAAACGTTATTCTAACTACTGACATGATTCACCTTATCACTTTGGCATATGGTATTACTATTTCTCCTATTATAGCAAGTTCTAGTTTTCCCAAGACCTTACTCTCACTCTTTTGGAAATAAAGTTTAAATATATATATTTGAAACCTTCAAATTAAAATGTTATCCTCATATATTCATGTACTAGATTAATATCGCCACATGTATCCTTTCCAATTTCAGGCAAAATAGACGTGCATTTAGAGTTGTTTAAAGCCAACCCAGCTTAATATCAAGAGAAATCATGACCTTTCATAGAATATTTGATGGAAAAAACACTGATTTTTAACACATCTTATTTTATTCAGATAGCAGTCTGATCACACGTGGTCCAACAACACTCAAATAATAAATCAAATATAACCAGATGTTAAAGATTGGTCTTCAAACATCATAGCCAATGATGCCACGCTTGCCTATGATCTCTCCGACATAAAACCACATCAACACCTCAGTGGCCACCAAACCATTCAGCACAGCTTCCTGAAAAAAGAAGCATACATTTTAAGGTATCTTTTTTTTTCTTATATATTTAAAACTATTCTTTTCCAGAATTAAGAGACAAAGAACATAGAGATGCTTTTCAAGCTAGAAGGCAGTTTTACTCAAAGTTGAGAATTATGAACATTACTTTTGTTCAATTGCTGAGAACCCTTGAACTTTCAATTTTCTAAGGTAGTCAGAGCTTATAAATTCTTTCAAAGCATTCTTTAAAGACCTGAACTGACTTAACCCTTTCATTATAAGTTTATGAGACACTTTATGAGCCCTAAAACAACCCACATCCTGGATAGCTGGCACATTTAGATAGGGTATTCATATGAAAGGATGGCTCTAGGAAGGCTGAATCTCTGAACATTTTTGTCTGGCAAAAGAAAATCTGCTGAAGGATGAAGTGCTGTCTCCCCCTTTAGATCTCATTTTTATTCATTTAGTATTTGACTTGACTCTTACCAAGTATCTGGTATTCATATCAACATTTTAGTGCCCCAAAGAGAAATATACACATATGGCTCAAGAAAGCAGTTATTAATACATGCAAAAATATGGATCTTGAAGCTCTAGTTGAAAAAATAACTTTGCATAACAAAACTGGACCTTTTCCTTTTAGCACTTCTGGAAGTGAATTTTCCCCATCAAATTAGGCCAGAAGCTTATGGAAGTCTTCTGAAAAGCAACCATATTTCCCAGGACGTAGGCTCTAAAATCCACAATTATTTAGGCTTTTTATACTTTGTGCTTGGATCATGCAAATAAAATCCAAGTTCCAATTCTTTTTTTTTTCTTTTAAGAGATAGGGTCTTACTCTGTCACTCAGGGAGTAGCACAATCATCGCTCACTGCCTCCTCTAACTCCTGGGCTCAAGCAATCCTCTCACCTCAGCCTGACTACAGGTGCATGCCACTGCACCTGGCAAATTTTTTTCACTTTTTTTGGGGCAGAGATAGGGCCTTGCTATATTGTCCAGGCTGGTCCTGAACTCCTGGCCTCAAGTGATCCTCCTACCTTGGCCTACCAAAGAGCTGGGATTACAGGTAGGAAGTGACTGCGCATGGCCACAGGTTCCAGTTCTTATAGTTTTTAGATTTTATCTTCACACAATTCAATAACCCAGGTTTGGTACTTTTATCCTACATATAAGAAGTGTTAGCTTCCTGACTGTGATATAGTTCAAGAGATACTTTGGCTGAATAGGGGACAATTCCAGGAATACAGATGAAAAAAGTACAGACTCAGCAAAGCAAGCCATCATATTTTAGTATACTATCTAAACAGGAAAGGGGAAAAAAAAATCCCAATAAATATCCTTACTTTTTTGCTAGGTTTAAGACGCTTAGGAAACTAAGACATAAAATGGGCTAATTATTTCTACCCTGGTGACAAAATTAGAAAAATAAGTATCTTCCTCAGCAGTCAAAAATAGGATTTAAACCTCCAACAACCAGAGCATCAGAGCCAGGATGACCCCTGGGTCCCATTCCTAAGACGTGGTTACTTTATTTTCCCCTTGACATACGAAGACTTAATTTTTAAATAGTCAGTGTCCAGTTGAAGGCAGAACACTAATCAGATTTCAAGGCCCACAACTTGGGGACTAGACTACCTTGTGTTGAGGGAACTCTGCCACCTGCACACAACCCACGGCTAAAGTAAATTCAATGACACTACTGCCCTGATTACTCCTTAGGATGTGGTCAAAACAGCATCAAATGTTTCTTCTGTTCTTTTCCCCAAGACAGTGTCCTGAAACTGTTAAATTAAGTCAGCTGGGCATGGTGGCTCATGGCTATAATCCCAGCAGTTTGGGAGGCCACGGTGGGTGGATCACCTGAGGTCTGGAGTTTGAGACCAGCCTGGCCAACATGGTGAAACCCTGTCTCTACTAAAAATGAAAAAAAAAATTAGCTGGGTGTGGTGGCATGCGCCTGTAGTCCCAGCTACTCAGGAGGTGGAGGCAGGAGAATTGCTTGAACCCAGGAGGTAGAGGTTGCAGTGAGCCGAGATTGCACCACTTGCACTCCAGCCTGGGGGACAGAGTGAGACTCCATCTCAAAACAAACAAACAAAAAACTTTTTTTTCTCGTTATGTTGGATTCAGCCTCATTGGAAACACATATATTAATCAAAACAATCAGAAAAATCCCAAGGGAAGACATTTTCTGTTATGCACATCCGTTTTCATTTAGCCCATGGTTACCTTAACTGTGAGTTGTTTGAAGCTACCAGTCTGAGCACTATTGACTATTTCTTTCAGGCTCTGAATNTGTTGGTCAGGCTGGTCTTGAACTCCCGACCTCAGGTGATCCGCCCGCCTTGGCCTCCAAAGTGCTTGGATTACAGACGTGAGCCACCACGCCCGGCCTGGGTTAGCCTTTCAAGCATACCTTCCTCTTCCCTCATTATAGTACTTCTCACATCTTATTATAGTAATTGCATTCTTAATTACCTGTCTTACCAGCTCAAACTCTGTGAAACAGGTAACAGTCTTGTTCATGAACGTTTCTGCCATTTTAATCGTGCCTGGAACTCAGGAGGTACACAATAAACACTGAGTTTGCTAATGACAAACACTTGGCAGCACACAAATTCAGCAAAAGTTTCAACAGTTCTGTTAGAAGACATTTGGGGTTGAGGGGGAAAACAAACAAACAAAAAAACAACACAAAAAACAAGCCCGGTGAAATTAAGTGGCCACTTCAGGGAGCTCACTGCTATTTTAACGTAAGAAAATTCTGTACATGCACTATTAGCCACAGGGGAGATCAGAGGTGTTCTGTATGGCAAAGGAGGAGGAAGTTGCAGTGAAGTGAGTATTAAATGTTTATTTTGAGGACCTTCTGCTGTGACCATATAGCTAAAAAAAAAAATCACATTACATATCATTAATCAACTAGCTGTCTGTAGGTTTTAACTAGTACTAGCTGATCTCCTACCTTGTTTTTTTCCGGTTAATTTGAGTAATGATGCACTGCATGAAAAAGAAACTCAGATTGCCATTCTCACAGCAGTCTTTTTGATTACTTTTTGAAAAGAGGTAGTCTCAGTTTTGACCACCTGTTTATTGCAGAAGGAGTAACAAGCATCACTTCACATTTCAGCAGTGTGGTAGTCTCCATGGGGACTTTCTTGTCCATCGCTTAGATAAGCTGTGCCCTTTATTAGGCTAAAGCAGCAGTATTCTAAATGCAGTGGGTAAATTTGAGATTGACTGGATAAAGGTTCAACACTATTAAAGGATTAATACTATATTGTGAGCTATAATGCTTTTACAATAAATATGCAACCACCTTTTGGTTATCATCAGCTGGTATTGCATGTTTTGCTGTGGCTGCAGGAATAACAGTGGATTTAGAAAAGTATCAATGAGTCAATTAAGGATTGTAAAATCCCTGGGAAAAGCCAAGGAATGATCGGTCTTTCCTATATTCCCAATAAAATCACTCCAGAAGACAGACTAATACCAATCACTTCATTTACTTCAGGACATAATATACATTTTGACCCAGGGAAGGTGCTAAATAATAACCTTGTTTAATTTATCTATAAGAGAGTTTTTTTGCAAAGGTAGTAAAACCAGACAAGTGAATAACACACATCAAAGTCAGATTTAAAATGTAGGTCATGGCTCTGTCCTACTGTTAAAGATGCTACAAAGATATATACTTAGAATAGCACCCTGTTCTCTCTTGGGGAGGCTGTATTCAAGATGACAAGAATTACTCTAACATTGTTATAGACATAGATGTTGTCAACAGGGTCTTTCTGTGATTTTAGTAAAAAGAAACAGTGGAAACGTTATTCTAACTACTGACATGATTCACCTTATCACTTTGGCATATGGTATTACTATTTCTCCTATTATAGCAAGTTCTAGTTTTCCCAAGACCTTACTCTCACTCTTTTGGAAATAAAGTTTAAATATATATATTTGAAACCTTCAAATTAAAATGTTATCCTCATATATTCATGTACTAGATTAATATCGCCACATGTATCCTTTCCAATTTCAGGCAAAATAGACGTGCATTTAGAGTTGTTTAAAGCCAACCCAGCTTAATATCAAGAGAAATCATGACCTTTCATAGAATATTTGATGGAAAAAACACTGATTTTTAACACATCTTATTTTATTCAGATAGCAGTCTGATCACACGTGGTCCAACAACACTCAAATAATAAATCAAATATAACCAGATGTTAAAGATTGGTCTTCAAACATCATAGCCAATGATGCCACGCTTGCCTATGATCTCTCCGACATAAAACCACATCAACACCTCAGTGGCCACCAAACCATTCGGCACAGCTTCCTTAACTGTGAGTTGTTTGAAGCTACCAGTCTGAGTGCTATTGACTATTTCTTTCAGGCTCTGAATAGCTCTAGGGATCTCAGCAGGGGTGGGAGGAATCAGCTCAACCTTGGCGTAGTACCAAAATGTGGCCAACTGAGGCTTCGAATAAGTCACAGCAGCTGGAAAACAAGACAAAACAAAAAAACCAGGATGAACTCACTAGAGACCAAAAGAAGCAGATGTGTGGGCCGGACAGAAATATTTATTCATGCATCACCTTCATTCACTGCTTGTACCAAATGTGTACCCGGTGTGAAAAGTCAAAGCTGCTCCCTGGTAACAAGAGGCTTTTAAAGAAGCAGAACACCTGTGCCACAGGGACGTTCAATCAGGCAGGATGCTACAAGCACATTCAATTATGCCAGTTCTTCACTAGTGGCCAGCTAGAACTGCATTTCATTTATGAATGACAAATCTAGCTAACTGTAAAGATGCTAGAAGCTGCATTTAAAAACAAGAGAACAGTCAGTTTATTCATATTTTCTTGTAGAAAGACCAGCAAATTTGAAGAAAGAGGAAGAGGTGAAGAAAGGGATGAAGGATTTAGAATGGCACTCTTAAGAACAAGATTAAAACTTATCATAACATTATCTATAAATCCAGATGCAATTATAAAAACTGGTACCCATTTTGGTATCCTTATCAATATGTGCTGGATTAAATTCTTTCTCTAACAAAAGCACAGCTGCTCCTCTTCCAAAGACACCACAAATAATAAAAGTAAAACCTACATGTATTGTTAAGAACAGCCAAAACTAGAATCTATTACTAAGCTGGAATTCCTCAAGGTATTTACTATCTCAAGAGAAGAGATCATTAGCAACCAGGGTAGCTGTGTGGATTGTGGTAGTGATTTCAGAAAGAGAAAGACATTTTTTATTTTAAAAAAATTACAAGAGAGGCTAGGTGCAGTGGTCATGCCCATAAACCCAGAATTTTGGGAGGCCGAGGAGGGAAGATCACTTGTGGCCAGGAATTTGAGACCAGCCTGGCCAACATGGTGAAACCCTGTCTTTACTAAAACTACAAAAATTAGCTGGGCATGGTGGTGTGTGCCTGTAGTCCCGGCTACTTGGGAGGCTGAGGCACAAGATCACTTGAACCCGGGAGCCAGAGGTTGCAGTGAGCCAAGATCTCACCATTACACTCCAGCCTGGGGGACAGAATGAGACTGTTTCAAAAATTATAAGAGAAATGTAATAAAAATAGCATGAACATCCATAAAGTGTCTGTTGTTCAAAGACTGATTACTCAAGCCTCTTGGTGTTTTCCTTGTATTAACTGCCTCTATTTAAGTATTTCTGAATTACTATCTCCCTTGTCTCTCTCATCTTCTGTGTTTGGGGGTATGGGCATACCTTGAAGCAGACACAAATCTCCAAGAGGTAGTTCCAAATAGAACTGCCAATGCCTGTAAGATGGGGCAAGCAAAAAAAGTACAGTCTTGTGGACCAGTCAACCAACTGTCTTTAATATTATCTCCAACACTGAGGCAGGAGAATTGCTTGAACTTGGGAGGAGGAGACTGCAGTCAGACGAGGTCGCGCCACTGCATTCCAGCCTGGCGCCTGGTGACAGAACAAGACTGTCTCAAAAACAAACAAACAAACAAACAAACAAAACTCCAACACATAGGCATTTCACCCTATAAAAACATGATTCAGTATACTGTACATAAACACTATTTTAGGTGCTAAATTTGTTTCTTAGGGGATACAGGTTCAAGAGTTTGAAACTGCTTTACATGTATACAAGAGATAAAACATAATGAATGGTAGATGGTGGGAGCTAGGTTTCTCCGTGGAGGTGAAGCAAGAATAAACCCAATGGTACTGGGTTAGAGTTGGACTCATGTTTAGCTTAATACGTACACTGATTAATAGACACAGAAACAATTTTATATACACATATTCATGTATCTGCATGGGTTAGTACACATGTATACACATATACCCATCTATATGGATACATATCTACATCCCTGTCAATTGAAGGACCTAGAAGTGTGATATTCTAGTAGCAAGGAACATACACAGCACCCAGACCTTAGTTTCTCAATTCTATTGTCCAATAAAACAAACTAAGGATCCTTGGAGAAATGCCTGATTCTAAAGCAGGGACAGGGTAAATGCAATATAAATCTGAAGCATCTTGTAGCACTAGAAAGTGAAAGGGCATGTCAAAGGGACAGACAGGTGCTAACCCGAAAGAGCTTTCGAATAGCTGAGGCTGAAATAATTTGAGCAATAATATGATATTTGATATACAAAGTACGAAATAAATGTGCAAGTCCATACAATAAGTGATTAGATAAATAAAAGGAGAAGAGACAAATCTTTCTCACAGAAGAATTCTATTTAATTTATGTAGATATTCCCTCCTATAGGAGATGGAATCCCCCACTGTAATCACACCCTGCCTTTATGGGATAGGCTTAGTTATTTGTTTCTAAAGAACAGAACACTGAGAGAAAAAACAGTAATTTTACAGAGGAGGAACCTATAACCAAGTGATGAAATCTTTTATCACCAGTGATGTCATAGGAACATCATATACCTCCTGACATGTGATTAGGGCACCTCATCCCTTTGGCATTTCCTCAAAATCCATAGTTCCAGACTAAGCATGAGAAAAACATCAGACCAATCCAGATTGAGGAAATTATTCAAGATACCTAGACAGATACTTAGACAAGACAGATACCTAGACACCTTAAGACTGTCAAGGTCAGGAAAGATGAGGGAAGAGTGGGAAACTGTCCCAGACCAGAGAAGGCTGGGAAGACACAGAAGCTAAATGCAATGTGGTACACTGGATTGGACCCTGGAACTGAAAGAGATTAATGGAAAAACTGTTGAAATACAAATAAAGTCTACAGTTTAGTTAAGGGTGAAAAAAAATCACACTCTATGATCTTCCTAGGCAAGCCTGATGATAAAATTACTTATTTCCATAAGCCTCTTTGGCCCCTTAGAAGAATTAACACATGTAGTCAGTAATTTTTATTAACTATTTAACACTCACATTTAATACACTAGCCTATGTATGTTATGAAGCAAAATGTAGTTCCACATTAACATTCTGGCCCAGCTGAGTCCTCCTTTCTAAGTACTTTTGGAAGAATAACAAGTTATTTTTCAATTGTTCACAATAATGGAGGGAAGGGTTTATATATTTCATAAAATTACTTACTTTTCCTTTTAGATTTTGTCATTAGTTTGCAATTCCTTAATATGTGCCACCGAAAAAATGTGAAAGCCACACCAGAAAAAAAAAAATCCACTTGAAATATGCCTTAAATCATCCACAAAGTCCAGAGTGAAGCCTCCAATCTTTTTTTTCTGTTTTTTTTTTTTGTTGTTGTTGTTTGTTTGTTTTTTGTTTTTCTTTGAGACGGAGTCTCACTCTGTTGCCAGGTGGAGTGCAGTGGTGCGATTTCGGCTCATGGCAACCAACCTCTCCCTCCTGGGTTCAAACGATTCTCCTGACTCAGCCTCCTGACTAGCTGGGATTACAGGTGCCTGCCACCACACCCTGCTAATTTTTGTTTTAGTAGAGACGAAGTTTCACCATGTTGGCCAGGCTGGTCTGGAACTCCTGACCTCAGGTGATCCACCCGCCTTGGCCTTCCAAAGTGCTGGGATTACAGTCCTGCACCACCACACCTGGCGAATTTTTGTATTTTTAGTAGAGATGGGGTTTTATCATGTTTGCCAGGCTGGTCTTGAACTCTTGACTTGAAGTGATCTGCCTGCCTTGGCCTCCCAAAGTGCTGGGATTACAGACACGAGCCACCATGCAGGGTCATCTCTTTTGATTTATATAAAATCGAAGAGCTCTATGATAGATATCGTGTTAATCTTAGTAAAGATTTTCTTGCAAGTTTAAGAAATTGTTTAGGAAAATGTGTAAAATGTTTCACTGGTAGGCTGTGAGGTTCTGCAGGAGAGGCTTCAATAACTCAGAGTTTGGCTGGTGATGGAGGGAAGAGAGGAGAGAATGAATAAAATACCCGGATGGCCCTGTGGCTCACGCTTGTAACTCCAGCACTTCGGGAGGCCGAGGCGGGAGGATCTCTTGAGCCCAGGAGTTAGAGACTAGTCTGGGCAACATCACGAAATCCTGTCTCTACAAAACATACAAAAATTAGCCAGGCATGGTGGTGTGCGCCTGTGATCCCAGCTACTCAGGAGGCTGAGGTGGAAGGATCGCTTGAGCCTGGGAGTCGGGGGCTGCAGTGAGCCACTGCAGAGTGAGTCCCTGTCTTCTGGGGTGGGGGGCAGGAAAGAAAGAAAATAAAATACCCAAATCAAACTCAAACACAGCAAAATAGGCTCAAAAATATAACATTTTTTTAAAAAATTCTGTTTTCTACGAACATTTTATAAATCTGAGCGAAAGTTAAGAGATCTGACCTTCAGTCGCTTACTGGAATATAGCACACCTAGGAAAAACTTACGTCAATTTAGCTTATCTCACTTCAGGAATAAAATGAAAAGCTTACCACTGAGAAGACAATTGAAATATTAACTGGCCGAATAAACTAGTACTCAGGGGCTGGGATTATTCAGGGTTATTGTGAAATACAGCGGTCTACCAGTGAGGCTCTTCAAGCTGAAAAAATTCCACGAATGCTAAGGTGTAAAAACAAAGATTACTGTTTATACGGAACCCATTCTATGATTCTCGGGGCACGGATACTCATCCATGAAGTCCATTTCCACCTAAAGCTTCCCTCAGATTAAAGCGGAAGTATCTCAGAATCCGTCAAAGGAACGTTCAAAAAGCTCACCCATCCTTAAACATTTCTGTAGACTTCCAAATATTTCACTGAGAACCGGACCATGTGATGAGGCCGAATTGATGCACATTCACACGCTTCTGCCCTTCCTTTTCTTGGCTCTCCTAACAGAGCCAAGCCGCCCAGATCCCTGCTCTTAGCGATCTCAGGGGGCGTAATGGCTGCAGCTGCCGGGCATCCTTCACGCTACCTCTCTTCCCCGTCATGGCTAGAATTCAGGAACTTCTAGGCTGTGTAGAGAACCCAATCTGCAGGCCAAGCGAGCGGAAGGCTGAAGGAGAGTCGCCAACCTGCCTCCAGCTCCCTCCACCTGCAGGCCATCCCGCCCCGGCTCCCGCAAGGCCCCTCGAGTCTTTGCCGCCTGCTTCTACCTCTCAGGCCATCGCAGGCCTCCTCGCCGTCCGTGTGCCCCCCCTCGCCAGTCTCATATCGGGCTCACCGTTCACCAGCGCCGGGGTCTTCTCCACAAGGTTACGGATAAATTGGGCCATGGTTCTGGAATGGAAAGTCCGTCGCCCCGAACGGCCAGTTGAATGTCACCCCCCCGGAAGGACCCACTGCAGGACCCCGTCCCACTTCCAAGGTCAGGCCGCCTCTTTCCGCGCCGGTCCAAGATATTTAAATGTCCAAAGATCTTTGCAGGATCTAGTCTGTCAATTTATTTTTTTCAACATGGAGGAGAAAGTGGATATGAAAAGGTGATATTAGAGAGCATGTGAAGAACAGTGGGATGCTGCAGAGAAGCAGGCATTTTGTGGGGCAGCCACTCGTAGAGACCCGGAAAACCGGCAAGGAGGGGAAATGCGCATGCGCCCTGAAGCTGCAGTGCTTTTCTTGCAGCCGACCTCCGCGATTTCGCGCAGGGTTCCTTCGCTGTGATCCTGCTGACCTAGTATGAAGTCAGTATTGGAGAAGAGTTCGCTGAGAGATTCTTTTAGTCCAACACGATCGTTGTACAGAGGTAGAGAGGGTCCAAGGCCAAATCTGTAAAGTTAGGGGCCTAGCAAGCACCACACAACCTGTAACCGGCTCAATCCATAGCCCATTTTATTTTTATTTTTTGAGGTAGTCTTGCTCTGTCGCCCAGGCTGAAGTGCAGTGGCACGATTTCGGCTCACTGCAACCTCCGGCCCCCGGGTTCCAGCGATAGTCGTGCATCAGTCTCCCGAGTAGATTGGACTACAGGCACCAGCCACCACGCCCGGCAAGTTATTGTATTTTTAGTAGAGACGGGGTTTCACCATGTTGGTCAGGCTGGTCTCGAACGCCTGGCCTCAAATGATCCGCTCGCCTAGGTGCTGGGATTACAGGGTGAGCCACCGCGCCTGGCCCCATAATCCCCAACCTTTTTTTTTTTTTTTTTGAGTTGGAGTCTTGCTCCCATCGCGCAGGCTGGAGTGCAGTGGCGCGATCTCGGCTCACTACAACCTCTACCTCCCGGGTTCAAGCGCTTCTCCTGCCTCGGCTTCCCGAGTAGCTGGGATTACAGGCGCGCTACCATGCCCGGCTAATTTTTGTAATTTTAGTAGAGATGGGGTTTTGCCATGTTGGCCAGGCTGGCCTTGAACTCCTGACCTCAGGTGATTCTCCAGCTTTGGCCTCCCGAAGTCCTAGGATTACAGGCGTGAGCCACTGCGCCCGGCCGATAGCCCTTTTTTTTTTTTTTTTTTTGAGATGGAGTTTCGCTCTTGTTGCCCAGGCTGGGGTGCAATGGCGCGATCTCGGCTCACCGCAACCTCCGCCTCCTGGGTTCAGGCAATTCTCCTGCCTCAGCCTCCTGAGTAGCTGGGATTACAGGCATGCGCCACCATGCCCAGCTGATTTTTTGTATTTTTAGTAGAGACGGGGTTTCACTATGTTGACCAGGATGGTCTCGATCTCTTGACCTCGTGATCCACCCACCTCGGCCTCCCAAAGTGCTGGGATTACAGGCGTGAGCCACCGCGCCCGGCCGCCGATAGCCCTTTTTAAAGCTGATTTTTTGTAATCCCACTCTCCCCAAAATCCTCTATCAGGATTGGAATCCATTTCCCCTAACTCCCTAATTAGCTACAAGGAGCTGTGTAGATGTCAGGAACAAAATCACACGTACTGAACGCCAACACTATGCCAGGCATTTTGTAATTTAAAGAAAGCCTGTGTCTTTTTTTTTTTTTTTTTTTTTTTTTGAGACGGAGTTTCGGCCTTGTTACCCAGGCTGGAGTGCAGTGGCGCGATCTCGGCTCACCGCAACCTCCGCCTCCCGGGTTCAGGCAATTCTCCTGCCTCAGCCTCCTGAGTAGCTGGGATTACAGGCACGCGCCACCATGCCCAGCTAATTTTTTTGTATTTTTAGTAGAGATGGGGTTTCACCATGTTGACCAGGATGGTCTCGATCTCTTGACCTCGTGATCCACCCGCCTCGGCCTCCCAAAGTGCTGGGATTACAGGCTTGAGCCACCGCGCCCGGCGAAAGCCTGTGTCTTAAGGCATTGTTCCCGTTGAGACTGAGCTTGAAAAATGACCACACAATTTGGAAGTGGCAGAGTTGAGATCTGAAGAAGTTGGAATGTAAACTCAGAGATGGGCATTCTATGAGATCAGGCATGGTGCTGATTTGAGCATACTTCCTAGAGAAGATCCTTGAGCCGACGTGTGAGTGAACAGCTGTATACTACAGAGCTGAAACTTCATAGTTTAATATGAGAAGGAAAAGATGTTATGTAGGGAAGTGGCATTTGATGAGAGGAACAGAACTGTAAATATCCTGGAGAAGTCTGAGCAGAAGTAAATCTCTGATTTATGGAATGGTTAGAGAGGTGAAAAGAAAAATTAGAAGTGATATCAGGAGCTAAGAACTTTTCAATGAAAGAGTGATTCTCCTGCCCTAGTATACTGCAGAGAAGTCAAATTAAGGATGGGAAAGTTAATTTAGCAATATGGAAATCTTTAACATTAATGCAGCTTCAAAAAATTAGGATAGAAGCCAGGGTGAATTGTGAAGAAATATGACTGTAAAGGATTACAAGCCAGAAAACCAAAGGGGGATGTGCAACTCGGGAGAAATTGAAGACAGAGAGAGGCAATGATTTATTTATTTAGAGATGGGGGTCTTGCCATATTTTCCAGGCTGGTCTTAAACTCCTGGCCTCAAGCGATCATCCCACTTCAGCCTCTCGCTTAGCTCTGGGATTACAGGCACAGGCCACCCTGCCTGATGAGAAGGGATATTGACAAGAGCCCTAATGAGGCAGGAAAGGAGAAATAGCCAGGGATCTATGGGGCCTTTTCCACAGATGGGATGATGGGAGAGAAGTCTGAAAGTCTTCAAAGACTCTGAGGTTTTTATCTTCCCAGCAAAATAGAAGACAAAGTCATCAGAGTGCAAGCGGTAAACGGGAGGGGAGGATGGGAAGGAATTTGAGGAAGGAGGCCAAAGTTTGGAATAGCTGAAGGATACACAGAAGGGTTGTTGGGCAACAACAGAGACAAGTCTGTGGTTGCACCATTCTAAAAATTTTGTTTATCCTCCATCAATGGTCTGCAGTTTGGATATTGCAGCAGAGGGGAATGGCTGAGTTAATCTAGACTGAGATCTTGCATGGCAGGGGTACAGAAACGAGCAAGCAAAGGGAAGATAACAGCAAATGATTCCAGAGACCTGGGGTTCAGGCCAGACAAAGGAAAAACAGTGAAGCCAAAAGAGAGCTGGTTAGGAAAACCATGCCATGACATTCATCTCCTGAGGGTAACCCCAGGGTCCCCTCCAGAGGCCTGGTATGGCAGGCTGGGTCAGCCAGGTCACACATATTTGATATTACCTATCTAAAAAAAAAGAGTGAAAAGTCAGAATCCTCTAAGTTTTCAGGGGGATTTCTGAAACTGGCACTAACTTTTCATATTGTAATAAAGTGATAACAAAGGTTGTAAGTCAGGTGTTCATTTATTAAATACAAGTTTTGAACAAACACTGCCAGGCAAGTTTGACAAGTAGTAACCTTCCTGGAATGTTTCAAAATACAGTTGTGTTGATCAAGTTTTATTTCAATCAACCTTTTTGTTCTTCATTTTCTGTTTCTAGGTTCATTTCCTGTTGAGCAATTAGAGCATGTGCATTATTTCCTCACATGACATCAACACTGCAGCATCAGCCTCTGGCTTGTAAAGGCACCCAGTAGACTTATGCTCTGTGCAGTGGCTGCTTAGCAACCAGCATCAAATAAAGTAATGAAGCTTTTGTAGAGTGTGATACCAAATAGCAACTGGCATCTTCACCTGCACCATTAAAAAACCTTTAAAGTTTCCTTCAGTTTTCACATATCCATTGAAAACTATATTAAAAAACAAAACCCACACTGCTTGATAAAACATAAACAATTTTCCAAGTTTAGTATTAGCCTCTTGGTAAGTTATGAGCAATACCAGAGCTGAGTAAAGAGTCTTCATTTTCTGTCATATTCCAGGAAAGCCAACACATGAAACTAGGTATGTTAGAAACTCAGCTCTACCAGATTTAGAGCTGCTTCTAAGTTCCAGACGAAACACCTTTTTAAGCTTCCACGGGTATATACACATGGTGTTGAACCAAGATGATAACTTTTTAAAGTCTAATTTTTTTGGATGTCCTTAAATTACTTCACCGAATGAAAAAAGGCACAGAGGACACTTGGTTTCCTTACCGTAGTGGCCTTAAGCTACACACTTGCCTGTGCAAAGAGTTTACAGATATTCAGCAGCATTAATGGTGCCATAGCCATTCATAAAAACTTCCAGGAAAAGAGCTTAAGAAAAGAAGACAAGCTTGCCAGAAAAGGCTTACAATCTGAAGGTTAAATACAGAAGAATACAGAGACTGGAGGCAGCATGGAGGTTGTTAACTAGGAAGCTGCTGGGAATAGCTGCCTTCTGAGTTTTTGTGCCCATTTTCCTCCTGTTTTCTCCTGAAAAACTCTGGTCTTCTCCCCTCTTGTTTTTAAAATGAAAACAGTCTACTCGATTGAACATCCTACTAGATTGGGTTTGGAGGATAAATGCAAATAGGCAGAAGCTTATTTTATACATAGTTCATTCTCTGAGAGGGAAAGAAGGATAATAAATATTGAATGAAGCTAATTTTAGAAAACAAATCCTGTCAACCCATGCCTTAAAGGCCCGGGGAGCACACTGAATGAATCTTACATTCTGGCATTTGCAAAAGTGTCCTCAACTTCTTTTTCATTTATAAGCACAGCAACAGGCAACATCTATTTTATATCTGGGGTGGGAAGCCCTCTTAAATTTGAGGCTTTCCAGTTGATACCATCAAAAACACATCAAGGACTGCTTATAGCCACTTGTGTTGAAATATAAAACTACTGTTTTATTTGAAAGAGACCGTAGTTAATAACATGTTCCAAATGAAGCAGTGACACCCGTTTCTTGATCCTATCACTTTTCTTGTCACTTATGATATCTCTGGGTTTAGAAAGATAGTGATATAAAGACAATCCATAGGGGAATGTCCCTAGTTAGCATATTAAGCTGCACAATTGAGTAGTGAGCTCAAGCTCAATTACAGTGGTGTCCATCCACTTACTAACTACACAGGGCTAAGTGTATATTTAAAATGGCTTATGGACAAGGTTGTGCTCAGATTCCTACTTTGTTAATTGAAGACCTAAGGCTGTGTTAGAAGCAGCCCTTAGAAGTCAGGTCACAAGCCCAAACAAATATTAACTATATACATTTTATAATCTCAGAATTTTGTCAAGAATGAGTATGTTAGTAAACATGGCCACATACTACATACATCTCACTATGGAACAGAAAATATAAAGTGGTACTCAGTTTACCCTAAATCAACATAAAAAAGCACATGGTGTGTGTGTGTATGTATATATCTCACACTATACACTATTGATATTAGTGTCTTAAAATGACATTTTTCATGGATATGATACTCGCCTAAATCTACTTAGGCCTAGTCCTTGTAGAAACACATTTTCATAAGAGAATAAGGGCCCAACAGTCTCCTCACCCCAGAAATTTTTTGACTAAAGTGTCAAAACTACATCTCCCTTACCAATCCTCATTAAAAAGACTCTATAACAAAATTAAGAGCTACCAACAGAAGTTGCATAAGATTCCTTTAAATTCTTTAAAAAAAATTCTCATCTATCATCTTATTCAAAAGTCTACACAAACTTCAAGGTATCTGCTTTTATGTGAAGTTATTCTGTAACACAGAAAAGGGCTTAAGTATAGATCATGAGGACTAGTAAATACACAGGATAACACAAGATTTTCTGATAATATCAGCTGTCACTGAAATATGTGACATTATATATTTATAAAGGCAGCACTCACCAAAAA